CTGTGTGTCAGGCACGCGAACTTGCTTTTGACAATAATTTTGGTGAGACAGCCAGGAGCCTGTGCCCATGGCAGGTCAGCCCTGGCTGGGGGGCAGCCCCTTCCCTGAACCCCCAGCAGCTGCCAGAGCTCATTGTGTTCTGGGGAACCTGGAGGGTCACTCCTTGACAGGCACCAGCTGCCTCAGCACAAAGCAGTTTGGAGCTGAGAAATGTCCTGACTGAGGGTCCACTTTGGCTTTTGTTTTTGGTGTGAGTTGCTCCGGCTTGTGCGGGCTGGGAGTTCTTCCCCTTCCATCTGAGTTCATGCCCTTTCAGGAAATGTGTTTGGATGCCTCTGTCTGGGAGTGGGAGTGGAATTTCGGACTGTATCTCCTTTGATTCTTTTTGCATTTGTCAGTCGTAGCTTTGTGTGTATGTCAGTACTTGCACTGGCTGGTTGAGATTCTCTGGTAGCAGAGCTTGCATGTGATGACACCAGCGTATTCTTCCCTATTGCACTGGCTTCGCTTACGGCACAGTATTGGCTGAGAATCTTCCCTTTTTAGAGCTAGGCAACTGCAACCCTGAGAGACTGTTCTGCATTCCACTGGTTTGATGTTTGCTTGATACTTGACAACACCAGCCGTGACTAATTAAACAATGTTGATCAGAGCTCTGTTCCATCTTGGAGTCCCCTAGGCTGTATTTTACAAAACTGGGAGATCACCAGCTACGCTCCCATGAATGAAAGAAAATGATATTTTATTGTAACACTGCTTGGCCTCAGTCCTCCTTAGGATCTGGAGAACAATGGCCCCTCATGGCTCTTTAAATTATTACACCGTCTCTCAAATAGAACTGTTTTGTTACAAGGGAAAGGAAAACGGGACGAACTTCCTTATGTGTGGGCTTTTATGCTATTGCATCAAAGTAAATTCTTTTTGGAATTGGTTTGGTTTTTTTTCTTGGGGGGGGGGGGTGTATGTGTGTGAGTGTCTCAGTACATTAGTCCAAACCCTATTCTCTCTTCCTGGCTTTGACCTTCGTTAGAGGGTCCTTGGTAACTTGGATGCTGATTCAAGTCCCTCTGGAAGTGAGGCCTGTCATGTAAGTGAATGATGTGTGTTATTATCTCTTACTGTTATCGATTTAAACTGAATTGGCTATTTAGAAACTGAAGGAACTCTCACCCTAAAAAGGGCCAAGATGGGGCTCTTTTGACATTGCAAAACTGGCTTTTGCACGTGCAGTTAGTGGAAGCTAGTTTTCTGGGAGGAACTTGCATTTCTCTTCCTGGGCCTTTGAGATGTAAATGACCTGCCTGGGCTCTCAGGGACTTTTATCTAATCATCTGTGATCCCTGAGACTGAAGGGAAAAAAGAGGCCTTTTTAAACTCAAGCAGGAAACTGTGGGATCTCTGCCTGTGTGTATGTATGTGAGTGTATGTCTGTGTGTACATTATAAATGTGATGTATCTCTGCCTCCAAATGGTATTGCCAAGATCGGTTTGTGGGTGAGCTGTTTAAATGGCTTAAAAGAAATTAAGTGCTTATATAAATTCTCAGAGATATAAACGAAACTGGTCAGAATGAATTTCAGGTTCACACGAGGGCTCACTGCCAGACACATGCACCACCTTGTGTGATCTTTCCTCAACTATGTTTGCAGACGACATGATCTTGAATAGAGAAAATCCTCAGGAGTATACTAAAAAAACTAATAAACAAGGTCATCAAGTTTGCAGAATGCAAGATCAATATACCAAAAATATAAATTGGACATATAATATACTAAAAAATGTATTTTTAGCACATAGACTGAATGAATACAAAGCAGTGTTCACAGTGCTTGGCACTTGGGGCAGGAAGCAAGAAGGATGGGGGCATGTAGTTGAGGAGGCTACGGTGTTTCCCTCCGAACATTCCTGCATTGTTCGAACCTTTTATGAGGAGTATGCATTCATGGATTACTTGTGTGACAAAAACATCAGTAACTGGTCACCTCCTCTAAACTTCTTAAAATGCAGTAAAGAAACAAGATTGGCCTTAATGCAGATCATGATAGGGATGAGTTTTTTTAAATGTATTTTTATAAACTTGCAATGCATAATCCAAAAGTGAAATTAAGAAAATAATTTCATTTATAACAGCATCAGAAAATAAAACAGGAATAAATTTAAAGTGCAAGTTTTGAACACTAAAAACTACAAAATATTGTTGAAAGAAATTAAGGAAGACTTAAGTAAATGAAGACAATCCATGTCCATGGGTTGGAAGATTTAATATTTTTCAGATGGCAATACTTACTAATTAATCTACAGATTCAGCACAATCCCATAAAATCCTGAGGGCCTTTTTGGCCTGAATTGACAAGCTGATCTTAAAATTCATATGGAAATGCAAAGGACCCGAATAACCAAAACAATCTTGAAAAAGAAGAACAAAGTTGGAGAACTCACACTTGCCCATTTTAAATTTGCTACAAAGCTACAGTATCAAGAAAGTGTGGTATTGACATAAGAATAGACATACAGACCAATGAAATAGATCTGAGATCCCAGAAATTAACTTTCATATTTATAGTCAATTGATTTTCAGCAAGGGTGCCAAGACAATCAAATGGAGAAAGAACAGGTTTTTTAAATAGATGGTGCTGAGACAACTGCATACTCACATGCAAAAGACCCCTCACACTACACATAAAAATTAGCTCAGATGGACCCTGGACTTAGTTGATACAGCTAAAACTATAAAACTCTTAGAAAACAATATAGGCATAAACTTTCAAGAACTTGGATTAGAACAAGCATTCTTAGATATGACAACAAAAGTATATGAAACAACCACCACAAAAGATAAAACACACTTAATCAAAATTTAAAATGATTGTGCTTCAAATGATACCACCAAAAAAAAAAAATGAAAAGACAACTTACAGGATAGAAGAAAATATTTGCAAATCATATATCTGACAAGGGACTTAAGTCTAGAATATATAAAGAACACTTACCATTCAATAACAAAAAGACAAATAATTTTAAGGGGAATTTTAAAGGGAAGGATCTGAATAGACATCTCTCCAAAGAAGATACACAAATTAGCAATAAGCAGATGAAAAGGGGTGTCAACATCCCTAATGATCCATCGAGGAAATGCAAATCAAAACCATAATGAGATACTACTTCACACTCACTAGGATGGCTAGAATTTTTCAAAAAGACAAATTATAACAAGTGTTTTCAAGAATTTTCATACACTGCTGGTGAGAATTTAAGTGCTACAGCTGCTTTGGAAAAGTCTGGCCATTCCTCAAAAAGATAAACGCAGAGTTACCATATGACCCAGCAATTCCACTCCTAAGTATGTACCCAGGGAAAATGCGAACATATGTCCACATTAAAACTTACACACAAGTGTTTACAGCTATATTATTTATAACAGCCAAAAAGTGGAAATAACCCAAATGCCCATCAACTAATGAATGGATTGATCAAATGTGATAAATTCATATTAATGGGAGATTGCTTGACCATAAAAAGAAAGAATTTATACATGCTATATATGACATGGATGAACCTTGAAAATATGGTAAGAGGGAGAAACCAGTCACAAAGACCACACATTATATGATTCCACTTATATGAAATGTTCAAGATAGGCAAATCCATAGAGACAGAAAATATGTTAGTGGTCACTGAGGGCTGGAGAGTTGGGAGGAAATGGGGGGTGATTGCTAATGGGTATAGGGTTTCTATTTGGGGTGATGAAACGTTCCAAAACTGGTTGTGGTGATGGTTACACAACTCTAAATACACCAAAAACTATTGAATTGCACACTTTAAATGGGTGAATTGTGTGGTATGTGAATTATATCCCAATGAGGCTGCTATATTAAAAGAAAATAATTTATCAATTAAAGCATCAGGGCCTGGAGATTTTTTTAGTGCAGTTTTAAATTACAAATTTAATTTTTAAAATTTTTGTAGGACTGAGTTATCCTTCATGTTGTGGGTAAGTTTTTTGGCTAGTCTGTGGGTTTTGAGGATTTGACCTATTTCTTGTAGTCTGTCAAATTCATCTGCACAGGGATGTTATTATTGTTTTAAAGTCTGTGAGGTCTACAACTGTTCACTTTTTCATTCCGGATATGGCCATTTCTCTCTTCTTTCTTTTTTTGTTTGTCAGTCTGACTGAAAGTATATCATTTGTCTTGTTTTTTCAAAGGACCCCCTTTTGGTTTCATTGATTTTCTCTGTTTATTTTCAATTTCAGTAATAACTGATCCTTTTTATTTCTGACATCCTACTTGCTTTGGGTTTGTCTTGCTTCCCCTCCTCCCTTGTCTCTCCCCTAGTTTCTTGTAGGGGAAGCTCAGATGGTTGCTTTAAGACATTTCTTATTTTGTAATATAAGTATTTAATGCAATAAATTAGCTACATCCCACAAATTTTGATATGTTATATATTAATTTTCTTTCATTTTAATACGTTTTCTAATTTCCTTTGAGATTTCCTTTTAAAAAGTATACTGTTTCTTCCCTAGTGTTTGGAATTTTTTTCCATTATCTTTCTGTTACTGATTTCTAGTTTAATTTCATTATAGTCAGAAAGCATATTTTGTATGATTTCAATCCTTTTAAATTTTTTAAGGTTTGCTTCATGACTCATGATACGGTCTATCTTGAATGCTCCCTGTGTGCTTGAAACGAATGTGTGGAATGTTCCATAAATACCAATCAATTCAAGTTAGTTGATGGTGTTGTTCAGTTCTGTCCTTGCCAATTTTCTGTCTACTATTTCTACACATTACACAGTGCTGCAACTTCCCAGTATAACTGTGGGAATGTGGACTCCTTATCTGCTCTTACATTTTGCTTACAATTTTTTGCTTCTTACATTTTGAAGCTCTGATCTCACGTGTCTGTACATTTAGAAATGTTATGCCTTCTAGGTGAGCTGACTCTTCTATCAATCTGTATTGTCTCTCTTTAACTCTGCTAATTTCTTAGCTCTGAAGCTTACTTTGATATTAACATAGTCACCCTTGCTTTGGCTTTGGCTTGTTAAGAGTTTCCATGGAATAGCTTCTCTCACACTTCTTCTTTTACCCTACCTGTATCCTGGTATGTGAGGTGAGTTTCTCATAGACAGCATGTATGTGGGTCATTTTTTAAAAAATCCATTCTGCGCATCTCTGTCTTGAATTGATGTGTTTACTTCATTTACATTTAATGCCATTATTGATATGTATGAATCTAGGCCTCCCGTTTTATTATTTGTTTTCTATTTTTCCCTCTATTTTTCGTTTCTCTGATACCTCTTTCCTACCTTTGTTTAGGTTACTTAATGTTTTTTTAAGTATTCCATTTTAAGCTATTGAATATGTTTTTGGCATGATCTCGTCATACAAGTTTTCCAGTGTTGGGAGAGACAATTCTCCTTGAGTTTCTTGTTCTCCTACAGCTCCTGCTATGGAGCCAAGACAGCAAGGTTCTGACCATTGTTTCGCCTGGGCCATTTCTCAGCAATGGGTGGAGGCCCAAAGCACAGAGGACGCAGGCTGGAAGGCGGTGGCCTGTGCAGAGGAAGAAAGAAGTCGCTGGGCAACGCACCAGCATCGGGGAGGAAGAAGTGGCGTGCTCAGGTATAGGCCCTGGAGGAAGGGGGAAAAGAAGCTGACATTGTTTCCTTCCCGCTGCTCCCACTGTCCCCCACGGGCTAGCCTCCATCACCCCCCGCCCCACCCCGTGCTCCCTAAGTTCCTGGCCGGGGGATAACGTGGCGTCCTGGTGTTAGGGACATGTCGCTGTATCCCCTGACTCGCCTGCATGTTAGACTCCCTGGTCCATGTCCTCACGGAGAATCAAGGCTCCAGAATTCAAACGATGGGGTTTTGGCGAAGTTGGCTGAGGCGAAGGAAATCCTAAGTGGCCCCGTGGGCCGGTTCACTGTGCTGTTGTGGCTTCCAGAGCTGGAAGGATGCTAAGAACCGACGTGCTCTGAGTCTGCGCTTCCCCGCAGGTGCGCGTCAGAGGAGATTCTCCATCCGGGATCGCTGCATGTACAGAAGTGCTAGAGGTACGTGTAGACTGCAACCTCCCCTCTATCCTTTCCTCCCTAAACCATCCCTGGTGGTCCAGAAGAAACAAAAAAGAATTCTAGCAGGAGGAGGAATCAGTTTTAAAGATTTAATGGCCGCCATACTAGGCAGAGGCATTTCCTAGTATAACAGCGCCACCTGCTGGACAAGCTACCTACTACACTTTCTG